AGACTTGTTACATAAGAAGCACGGGGGGCCCTGGCCGGTTTGGCTCAGCGGTTGGAGCGTCGGCCTGCGGTCCGGAGAGACCCGGGTTCGGTTCCCGCTAAGGGCGCGTACCTCGGTTGCAGTTTGTCCCCGGCCCTGGTTGGTCGTGCGGGTGGCAGCCACTCGATGTGTTCCTTTCACATCGATGTTTCTCTCTCTCTCTCTGTTCCTCTCTCTCCCCCCCACTCAACCTAAACAAAACAAAAAAAAAAAAAGGAAAAAAAAAAAAAGAAGCACGGGGGTGGGGGTTTAGCCTTGCTTCTTGTCCCAGAGGTTTCTCTCGAGGTTCTGGAGGCCACAAGCCCTGAATCAGGGCGAGGCTCTAGAGAATTCTTTCCTGCTTTTTCCGGCATCTGGTGGCTCCAGGAGTTCCTTGGTCTGTGGCTGTAAAACTTCAGTCTCTGTCTCTGACATCATGTGGCCTCTTTTCTGTGTCTATACCATTTTTGTTTCTTACCAGGACACTTGTCACTGAACTTAGGGCCCAACCCTCTTAATCTAGGATGATCTCATGTGGAGGTCTTTAGCTTCTACATCTGCAAAGACTTTTGTTCCCAAATAAGATCACATCCACAGTTACTGGTAGTGAGGACTAGGACATAACTTTTGAGGGATCACCTGCCACTACAGAGGACTTGCACTGTACTTCTGACTGCACTGGGTCGGGATCCAGCAGTTTCAAGATGTAATCTCTCGCCCTGGCCGGTTTGGCTCAGCAGTTGGAGCGTCGGCCTGCGGTCCAGAGAGAGCCAGTTTCGGTTCCCGCTAAGAGCACGTACCTCGGTTGCAGTTTGTCCCCGGCCCCACTTGGAGTTGTGCAGGAGGCAGCCACTCGATGTGTCCCTTTCACATCGATGTTTTTCTCTCTCTCTCTCACTTCCCCTCTCTCCCTGCCACTCTATCTGAACAAAAATGCAAAGGTGTACTCGGGTGAGGAAAAAAAAAAAAAGATGTAATCTCTCAGTCACACTAACATCAAACTTTATGTCCTTTTAATATAGGCCAAAGCAGCCCAGCCAGTGTGGCTCAGTGGATTGAGCGTCATCTCATGGACTGAGAGGTCCCAGTTCAATTCCGTCTGGGCACATGCCCAGGTTGTGGGCTTGATCCCAATAGGGGGCGTGCAGGAGGCAGCCAATAGATGTTTCTCTCTCACATCAATGTTTCTATCACTCTTCCTTCCTCTCTCTCAAAAAAAAAAAAAAAATTAAATTAATTTTAAAAATAAAATGGGCCAAAGCCTGAAACCAAAGTGTGGGATGGTCCAGAGGATTTGTAGCATCAGAGACAGTGGAGGTTGATAAACCTTGTTTTAAAATAAGGAAACTTGGGCCCTGGCCGGTTTGACTCAGCGGTTAGAGCGTCGGCCTGCGGTCTGGAGAGACCCGGGTTCGGTTCCCGCTAAGGGCACGTACTTCGGTTGCAGTTTGTCCCCGGCCCTGGTTGGTCGTGCGGGTGGCAGCCACTCGATGTGTCCCTTCACGTCGATGTTTCTCTCTCTTCCTCTCTCTCCCTCCCACTCTATCTGTACAAAAAATGGAAAAATGTCCTCAGGTGAGGATAAAACAAAAAAATAAATAAATAAATAAAATAAGGAAACTTGGGCCCTGGCCGGTTTGGTCAGCGGTTAGAGCGTCGGCCCGCAGACTGGAAGAGTCCCGGGTTTTGGTCCTGCTGAGGGCACATACCTCGGTTGCGGTTTGTCCCTGGCCCCAAAGGCCCCAGTTGGAGTCGTATGGGTGGCAACCACTCAATGTGTCTCTCTCACATCAATTTTTCTCTCTCTCCCTTCCTCCCTCTCTCCCTCCTGCTCTATCTGAGGATAAATACAAAAATGTCATCAGGTGAGGATAAAAAATAAATAAAATAAGGAAACCTGGAAATGAAAGTTTAAATGTAAAACAATCCACTTCTTTTATGAAGGACAATATAAGTGATATAATAGTTTGAGGACTAAGATATTGTAGTAGCTAAAGAAACACAAACCAGAAATTTTAAAAATAAAAAAATGTTAAAGATTCTACGCATGGCCCTGGCCAGTTTGGCTCAGCGGTTAGAGCGTCGACCCACAGACCGGAGAGACCCAGGTTCGGTTCCCGCTGGGCACGTGCCTTGGTTGCGGTTTGTCCCTGGCCCCTGTTGGAGTCATGTGGGTGGCAACCACTCGATGTGTCTCTCTCACATTGATGTTTCTCTCTCCCTCCCTCTCTCCCTCCCGCTCTATCTGAAGTTGAATGTAAAAATGGCCTCGGGTGAGGATAAAAAAAAGTTTCTACGCAAGGTCAACTGAATATGTAATTGGACAATTTAGATATTTATGTTCACACACTCAAGTGAGAAAATGAGAGTTGAAAATGATTTCAAGAGGAATAGGTATTGGGGTGCGGGTGGGGATGAGGATCATGGGAGATGCGGTCCAAAGGGCAAAAGGGAAAAAGTTTGCAACCAGAATGTTTCAGGTGAGACCTGGAGGTTAGATTTTTCCTCATCTTCATTCCAAGGCATTCAGTCGGATGTTCATTCTGATCTTGAATTTTGATTAAAGGAGCCCTCTGGTACATTCTTCTCCCTCACCTCCCTCCAGCTCTCGTGTAGAAAGTGAATTCCTAAGTGTAGGCCACGCCTGAGATTTCTAGGTGAAATCAGCATCTCTAGATATGACTGCAGACTTGCAAAACATCAGCGCACTATTGCCACAGGAAGCCCAACTGTTAATTGCTTCTTTGGCGTCTGGCTAGAACGAAAACACCCTTTCCCTGTTTAGTATTAAAAGTAAATGTAGTGGAAAGAACATTGGGCTAGAATCACGGGGAGGCTGGGATTCTAGTCCCTCCATTACCAAGCGCCTGTGGTTTGGGGCAAAGTATTTCATTTCTCTCAGGCCTTAGTGCCCTTATCCATAAAATCGAGGACATGAAACTGAATTAACACTTCCATCTTAAAAATCCTATTCTGCATCTTGAAAATACAGTGCCCTTCTCTTTTCCGTCCAGTCTTTTCCTAAAACCTTATTTTCACGATATCCTAATGTGATTTTATCATTTGGCGGTGTAGTCGGGAACCACTCCTGGATTTCAGCATCTACCTAATTCTCACCACAATCCAGGCGGCAGCACCTTTCTGCTCAGAACTGAAATTAGCTGTGAGGCCCCGAAGTTCTTGGCTGCTTTGGAAATTCAACCCGCCCGTGTTCCAAGTTTGATTTTGCAGTCTTGCTTTATTCTTTTTTTTTTTTATCATTCGAGGACATTTTTCCATTTTTTTGTTCAGACAGAGTGGGAGGGAGAGAGAGGAAGAGAGAGAGAAACATCAACGCGAAAGGGACACATTGAGTGGCTGCCTCCTGCACAACCCAACCAGGGCCGGGGACAAACTGCAACCGAGGTTCGTGCCCTTATCGGGAACCGAACCCGGGCCTCTCTTGACCGCAGGCCGACGCTCTAACCGCTGAGCCAAACTGACCAGGGCTTGCTTTATTCTTAAGAAATCTGAAATGTACAGTGTGACCTGAACTGACAAGGTGTCTCTTTTGCCACATTGCATTGGTCAAAGCAGCCCAAAAGCCAGCCTCGTTCAAGGGGAGGGCTGATGGCCTTCCCCTGTTGGTGATAGGAAGTGTCAGGGAAGGAACGGATGGAGACCATGTTCGGAGATTATCTACTACAGTCTCCCTAGTGAAACATCTCTTGATCAGTTGGTTTTCTCTTTTTATTCTTAATGGCTTTATGTGGTATAGAAACCCAGGGCAGGCAGGAATTCATCCCCTGGCCTTAAACATCAAGTATTTTACTACAAACCCCAGGGTGCTTTGGGAGGAATTGCTGTCTCCACCCTGGACCATTACTCTACGTCTTCGGTGGCTATTTTGGGAAGTGTAATCATAGTTTCCATGAATGGAGTACTTGCTATGGGCCAGACTCTGTCCTTCTGCCTTTTTCATGCATCATGTTATGAAATTATCGTAATCTTTCCAGGCCTGTGCATATCATTTCCGTTTCCAGGTTGGTTCAGGTGATAAAAATCCGCCATGGTAAAGTCGGTACCAAAGATTCAAAGGCTGCCCACACTCGAGATCATCAGCCTCTCCCTTCACAGAAGAACTTATTCTATGGGGATACTTATCATGCATTCTCTTTCCTTCCCCCTCTTGTAGATTACTTTTGTCAATTTTGCATTCCATTAATTATATATTTATCTCACTCTGGTCCCTTTCTACCCCCAGGCCCACCGTTTTCCTGCAACCGATGCAAATTAGGAGAGACCCCGGAGGAAGGTCAGGGAACAGAGATATCCAAGTATAGTAGAGTCTGTTCCCTGCATGGAAGGAAGTTCCCTACGACCACACACAGACCACACGCGTAGCCGATGCCCTTTCATACCCCTCAGGACAAAGAAATTGGATCAAGGAACAACATAATGTAATGCTTGTTCTGTACCATGCCCACGGTGTACATTTAGTAAACATGTGCTTAGAGTACCGACTATTACAGTATTAATTTATGCAGGGATGTCGTCAAACCCAGAGCCAGTGCACACACTGAAAAATCTGACTAAGGGCAGCATATAACATTTTTATTGCATTTCTGTATCTTTCACGGTTTTATTGACACATAATTTACATGCCAGAGAGTTCACCCATTTAAAGTACAGTTCAGTGGTTTTTAGCACACTTGCAGAGTTTTAAGCCATCAACTTAAATTTAATTTTAAAACATTTTTTCACCCCCAAAAGAATCTTTGTTCCCATAGCTGTCCTTCCTTATCCCAGCCCAGCCCCCAGCCTTAGGCCACTAATCTACTTTCTTCTCCACAGACTTGCCTGTTCTGGGTATTTCATGTGAATGGAATTGTACAGTGTGGCCTTGGCTTCTTTCACTTAGTTTCGCTTATTCTCTTCACTTCTTTCCTATAAATGATGATTGAACTTTTCAGTTACCATTTCTTTGGTATATTTTTTTCCAGGATCCCAAACACTTCAAGTCAGAGAAGACAGGACGGGGACAGTTGAGGGAAGGCTGGAGAGACAGTCATCAGCCCATCATGTGCTCCTACAAGCTGGTGACCGTGAAGTTCGAGGTGTGGGGCCTTCAGACCAGAGTGGAACAGTTTGTGCACAAGGTAAGTGAGCGGTTCCTGAGCTGCAAACGGCGTACTGTGCCTGTGGTAAGGCGCACAGCAGAGGCCGAGCCAGCGCGGGGTAACGGCATCTCGACAGCCCTGTCTTATGCAAATGACTTTCCATACAGGTTTCATTTTCTTCCACTGATAGATGTCTAACGTCATCTCCTGTTGTTGTGAGCGTATTCGGGAAGTTGGGTGTTCAAAGCCTATTTCTCCCATATGGAAGCCACCCAAGTGCCCATTACTAAACAAGTGGATGAAAAAGCTGTGGTATATACATAAACAAGGAAATATTAGTCATCTATAAAAAAAAGAATAAAATCTTACCATTTGCAGCACCATGGATGGACCCAGTGAGTATTATGCTAAGCTAAATAAGCCAGACAAAGACAAATACCATATGATTTCACTTACATGTGGAATCTAAAGAACACTGGTGTGGCTCAGTGGTTGAGCATCGATCCATGCACCAAGAGGTCGCCAGTTCAATTCCCAGCCAGGTCACATGCCCAGGTTGTGGGCCTGACCCCCCAGTGGGGGCATACAGGAGGCAGGCAGTCAGTGTTCTCTCTCATCAGTGTTTCTATCTCTCTCTCCTCCCTTTCTCTCTCTCTAAAAAAATCAATAAAGGGGAAAAAATTAAAACAATGTTTAAAAAAAAACATTCTTACAGACACACAGATCAGACTGATGGTTGGGGGACTGGGTGAAAGGGATTAAGAAGTACACGTTGGTAGTTACAAAATATTCACAGGAACATAAAGTACAGCATAGGGAATATAGTCAACAATATTGTAATAACTGTGTATGGTGCCAGGCAGGTACTGGAAATATCGGGGGAGCACTTTGTAAAGTATATGATTGTCTTTACCTGTACACCTGAAACTAATATAAAACAATGTTTAATGCAAACTATAATTGAAAACAAACAAGCATATTTCTCCTTTGGCATTGGGCTAACCTACTTCCGGTCATGGGTACTTGTAACTTGGTACTTGGATACTTGGGTTCCAGGCAGAGGCACAGGGTTCATCTGCGTGTGCAGTCCCCAAGGAAACTTCTCACTCAACGGTCCTCAAATGTATACCCCTAAGGCAGAAGACGCCCAAGAGACAGAACAAAAATCCCAGTAGTCATATAATACTGTCAACCAAAGAATGGTGAACAGTCGTAATACACAGATTTCAGAGTTATACCCGCTTTGATACACTCATTAATTTTGTAGCAGGAATTCACTTGGTAATGATTGAAGTTTGTTTCGGGGTTTCTAACATGACCCCTGTCCTCATAGGGGGAAAAATGGGAAACGCAGAGTCGAGCACTGCCTTTAAAATCCTTCCACTTCCATTCAGATAAATGCTCCCCATGTTGTCTCTGTGTTCCCGATAGGCTGGGGATCTGTCTGCTTTTCCACTTAATAACTAGCTTTCTGAAATTCTCTTGGAGGTGTTGGAATTTAACCTTAATGTGCTGAGCTTTTTGTTACTTGGATGGATTTGTCTATGGGGGACAGTTGACATTAAAATGTGTGAATCTTGAATGTAGGTCCAAGGAGGAGGCTGAATGTGGGTTCATGATGGCAGCAGACTCTGAACGAATCTGAGACAGAGAAGTGTGCCGGTCTTCTGCTGAGCCCAGAACCCATTCTGCCCCACCGGAGGTGGGAGCCGGAGATACACAGAAATCCGGTTCTGGGACCTCCTGTGGGCCTGCCGTGTCTCGGTTATTCAGCGGGGAGACAGCCAGGGCTCCCGGAGTAGATACTTCCCAGCCTCAGCTCTGTGTCCGTCTCAGGCTGTAACTTCCTTGATTTCCTACAACCCCCACCATTCTTTAACCACAACTGATCTCTTACTAGGGCCACTACTATAGTGCATTTTATTTCCTCCTCTCACAAAGCGTATTTAGATGTCCACAGGGCGCACTGTGTTTCTTACAGACAACTTTGGCTAGTTTTGAGACTCCGTTACTTTAAGATACCTGTAAGAATTACACTCTAGCATAGGCATTCCCGTTGCCCACTTCCAAGTGGAATGAAGTGGTACTTATCCACGCCCCAGAGCACACCTGCTCTGGCACGCGAGTCGCTAATGAGTATCTGAGGCTAGCATCTGCATGGGTGCCTTTCTCTGAACACCTTTGTCTTCGAAGAATCTTTTCACAGTTAAAGGGAAGAAATGTTCGAGAGCGAGCTATTAGCACATTATTGAATTCTTGTTTCCAAGCAGGCAGCTGTGTTGTGCTTAATGCAATCGGGTCTATTTACCGATGCCTCGATGCTGTTCTTTCGAGTTCCGTGAATTTGACACGCTCGGCACTCAAGTGTGTACAGCTTCTTGTTGTTTCTTATTTTCATTACATGGTTCCTCCTCAAGCCTCGCTAGATATCCAGAGGCCTGAAGAATAATAAACGCTTTATTATAAATGCTGCCCTTGTTTCTGCAAATTCACCAAAATTAAAATCCGTCACTTACTGAAACATGCTCGAACCTTCCACAAGAGGTTTTTGACAATTGCTGGATTTCTTGGGCAGTCAGAAATAAATGTTAGGAGGAGAGCGTGAGCATCCAAGACACATAAAAAGGCGTGTTTATGAAGGACGAGAAAAACAATACTGTGAAATAAAAGCACACGAACAGGGTTTTGCACACAAAAACCATATATGTATGTTATCTTTCTATATATGTATGTTATCTCTCTTCCTCTGCTCCTGCCATCATGTGTCACCCTCAAAAACAAGTGTCTTTTGTCTCCAGTCAAGCTCATCGTTGCCGTTATGTTCTCTTTTGTTCAGGTCTCCAGTTAAGTCATCTCTTTCGATGATAATTGACTACACTTGTCCCCCCCCCCATCACATGCAAGTCAAGCCTAGAAAGATATTTATGCACCTTGTCTCCCACACCTTCAGTTCGTTAAAGCAAATGAACCAATATTTAAGATATTTCATCAGGAAGAAAAAACCTGTGAAGTGCTCTTGACTTAGAAGTGACTTGCTGCCCAGGAAAGTTCTTGATTTCTCACGTGTGCGACCTCCTGGCGCCAGTGAGGCACACCCTTCCACAAATGAACAGTGCTTTAGATAAAAGTAAACGAAGAGGAAAATCTCAAGGTGACCAGCCTGGAGATTCATTCCAGTCACTGCCATGTGACTGCCATGCAGGTCTCATTGGTTTGCACACACACCTCCAGCCCGACTCTCAAGTCAGGTGGACATTCAATTACACCAAGGACGTGCACGCCACGGCAAGGACCGGGGGTGAGCAAGTCCGATATCAGCTGTAATTGGCATCCCATGTGGATGGAAGGAAGGAGAAATTTATATATATATATATATATTTTTTTTTTTTTTTTATCCTCACCCGAGGACATTTTTCCATTTTTTGTTCAGGTAGAGTGGGAGGGAGAGAGAGGAACAGAGAGAGAGAGAAACATTGATGTGAAAGGGACACATCGAGTGGCTGCCACCCGCACAACCGACCAGGGCCGGGGACAAACTGCAACCGAGGTATGCGCCCTTAGCGGGAACCGAACCTGGGTCTCTCAGGACCGCAGGCCGACGCTCTAACCGCTGAGCCAAACCGGCCAGGGCGGAAGGAGAAATTTATAATTGCCAGGACTCCTAGAACTGGGAACGATCTCTTTTCCAGGTGGTTTTAATAAACCATGGTATTACTTCAACCTCCTTCTTTTGCTTTTTCAGGTGGTCCGAGATATTCTGCTGATCGGACACAGACAGGCTTTTGCATGGGTTGACGAGTGGTATGGTAAGTCACCCTCCCCGAAATAATGTCTAGAACATTTTCAGAACATGTTGACTTGGGATTTTAGTCCATCTGGCTTCAAATACTACCTAAACGACAACAACAAAGGCAGGGCTACTGCTTCCCGTACTGGAAATAGCACTGTTCAGGGAACATAATGAAGAAAAATAGAACGACAGAAGCTAACATAACTACAGTACTTAACTCTTGAGGAAGTAGGAGCTCAGTACATTTGATGCATGAGTGCTGGACTGGCACGTAGGACTCCATTAATTCTCTGTCGGGTGGGTTTCCATCTCATCCTAATTTATCCTGACTTCGAGATCAAAGCTGTCTCCGCATCATACCACATGAAAGCCGTCCTTTGATTCAGAGATCGCCGAAACACTCCCTCACCCAAAACAAGGGTTCTGCCAAAGTTCAAGGGCAGAGGCCTCGGTGCCCCCTTAATCCTGACACTGCTGCTTTGGCCTTTTTTCTTTCTTCTTTTTTAACATGATTTGGGAAAGAGTTTAGCAAGTTCTGCACGTTTTCAATAAATGAAAACAACATTTGTCTTATTCCATGATAGATGGACCACCCTTCCCAGGTCCTCAGTGCTGTTGTTTTGTCCACGTGAGTCCTCTACATTCCAGGATCGGTCATCAGCCTCTAGTGTCCTTGACTATAAATAGAAACAAACACCCCCAGCTGGTGACTTGGATTAGATCTGATTATCTAATGAAGCGGCCTTCTCCTAAGTCACACCGGATTTGTTCCGAGCATAAGTGCAATTGCATTTCGGTGCTTTGCTGTCATTGTTCCACCAGTTCCTTCCTCTTCGGAACAGAAGGTGTCAGATTTCAAGTGAAAGGGTAGGGTGGACTGAATGGGCCAAGACAGTGATCGTCAGGAATGTTGTTAGCGGTTTCCGAGCCACGTTTTTTTAGAAACATGGTTCTGTAGGCCCTGGGCTTTTTATCTTTTGCAATTTTTCCCAGATCTGTGTCTTCTGAACAACAAATGGGTCTTCCTGGAAGTGTTGTTTTGTTTTTGTTTTTTTTTTAAAGATCACCACTTTCTTAACACCCCACCCTCTGCCCCAGGATGCTGCTCACCTGTGGCAAGTGCACTGGCTCAGCACATGGTCACGGTGTCCCCCTAAGTCCTATTTGTGGTTGTCTTTTGTGAGGCAGACGGAGAGAAGGTCTCCTGTGATTCCTTGCCCTGATCATTAAACCAATCTTTCTGGTTGTATTTTTCTGGAGAGCTTTTCTCAGATTCTTAGAGGGAGCACAGACCCCAAAAAAGGTTAAGAAATGACTGATCTGTGCCAACTTGAATTCCTCCAAGCTCGTGGTTTCCTTACCACCAACACTAAGGGGATAGTGAAGGGATATTCAAAGAATAATAGGCTCAAACAGATTAGAAATTTGGCAAGTGAAGGGGAACCTGAAGGGCCAAATATCTGCCACTTTGAGGACCGAGAAGACTCAGACTTCAGTAGACCTCTCTAGTGCCAGGATGCCAGAGTGGACTTTTTTTTTTTTTTTTGCTTTATTGATTTTAGGGAGAGGGAGAGAGAGAGAGAGAAACATTGATGAGAGAGAACATCAATTGGCCCTCCTGCATGCACCCCACTGGGGATATGGCCCACAACCTGGGCACGTATCCTAACTGGGAATCAAACCAGTGACCTCTTGGTGCATGGGTCAATGTTCAGCCACTGAGCCAAGTTGGCCGGGCGCCAGAGTAGACTTTCAAGAAAACACAGCATCAAACAGGGTAGCTGGGTCCTGATTCAGAGGACGAAACGGCAAGCCTGTCCACCAGGAAAGAGGGTTCGAGTAGAGACAGGATCTAGAAAGAGAAAATGAAGGCCTTCTAGAAAGGGAGCTGCTGGAGTGTGGGGGATGGCGACCAACTCTTTAAGCCAAGCCTGGGCTAAGGAAGACTTAACTACTTTTAGTCCCAAACAAGAAAAATCTTAGGCTGTAACAGGAGCCCAGAGTTAGAGTAATTCATCAAAGGAAACTGGAGGTCTCTTGTCCTGGAGAACTCAGAGGAGAACACCCACCTATTTACTTTAGATGGGTTAGGTGGAGAAAGAACTCAAGGAGTCTGTTGACAAAAAGCCTTTTCTGTACCTGAGTGCAGAAAAACACCATGTGGTTTAGTGGATGGAGACCATCGCGGGCCTTGTGCTCCCCAGGGAAGGTCTCCGCCCCCTCTATACACAATCCTAGCCCCAATCAAAACAAGCAGCCTTTGCCCAGCAAGAGCTCTGAGAACCACCCCATCCATTTCATGTAAGTTACTGCTGGCATTGCCCTGGGCCTCAGCTGCTTGCGGCAAAACTGTGGCTCCTTCATTACACAGAGCAGACACTCAAGTCAAAGGGATGGAAATGGTCCTGCCCACAGAGTGTCTTCTCGGCCCCTCACTCAAGGGAATGCTGGAGATTGGGGGCCTTTCGGGTAAATGGGTGTGTCACTGGTACTGAAGGCAAATGTCTTCCAGGGTAGCCCTTCAGTTTGGGGTACCTGCAGTTGCTTATTTTTCTTTGGTCTGTACTGGCATTAGTAAACATGGGAAAGGTCCAAAGTAAAAACAAACAAAAAACAACTCTTGCCTGTAGTGTATAGCCTGGTTCTCAACATGAAGTCCCTGGACCAGCACCATCAGCATCCCCTGGTTACTTGTTATAAATCCAGATTCCCAGGCCCCTCCCCAAACCTGCAGGATCCAGGACCCTGCGGTATGGGCCAGCCATGTGTGTGATAGCAAGTTCCCCGGATGATTCCGATGCCCAATAAGGTTTGAGAACCTCTGGTGTATAGCGTGGACTGTAAACCAGGTTAGGTTGCGAGGAAGGACCATTTATTCAGTGCAAACAGGTTAAACTAAAGAATGGTAGATGTCTTCAGGGCCAGCTTCCAAACTCTGGTACCTCATGAGAATTAGAAAAAAGCATTTCTTTGAGGCTGATTCAGCAGGTGCTGTCGACTTGGGGCTGGATTTTAGCCCCATTCACCTCCTGGGCTGAGTTTCATACTGTGTACAAACTGCGCCCTGATGCAATGGCTGTCTTCCTCCCTAATTAGACTCATCACCTCCCGTTTTTTGTTTTTTTTTTGGTGTGTTTTTTTTGTGGTACGTGCCCCTAGCGGGAACTGAACCCAGGACTCTCTGGTCCGCAAGCCGACGCTCAACTGCTGAGCCAAACTGGCCAGGGCGGCCACCTCCCGTTCTTAAGAGTCAAAAAAACTAAAGGACATTGTAGATGATGGTGATCTTTTCTTGCCCAAGGATTTTAATTTTGTGTCTTTCCCGAGTTTCAGTGTTTTGCTCTCACATACCTACTTTCCTAAACAGATGTTATCCTGCTCGTGTTCATGGTCAAGTGTCACCATTTCCAGTGATGGAGGAGTTGAGTTTGTCTTTCAAAGGCTCAATTGGTCCTTATCCAGGAGCCTCGGGTGTCTCCTGAATGACTAGAACACTAATCAGAGAAGTAACAACACGTTTCAGAAGATGGTGTAGATAAAAGTAGGCAGCCCGCCTTCACAAAAGCACGTTTGGGCTTCACAGTCTGACAGTATTTTTGAGAGAGGAACACAGGATCGCCCGAGGGCGGCTCTGATGGAGTGGAACATCTTGGAAATCCTCACCCATCCAAAAACATATGGGGGTTAGTTCTGACTGTTACAGATGAAACCACCTCATGAAAATTACTGAGAAATCCTGGAGCCCCTCGAACAGGCCTAACAATGAATAGCAAGCTCAAGGCAGAGAAGGAGGCATGCTTAGGGACTAGCATTAGCTGGCTGAGTTCAGCACGCCAGCATTTTCCAGGGGCCTCGTAGGAACTGGAGTGCCGGGGCCCTTAGGCAACATTGTATGTGCATGCTTGTGTTCGTTTCTCTGGGGAGGGGACCCATCACTTTCCATCAACTTTTCAAAGGGATCTGTGATCCGCCCTTCACTTCCTCCAATTAAGAACTGTAGGAAAGAAATCACAACTGTAGGTTACAATTCTGGATCTTTTACATGGAAAGGGTATGCACCAAGCTTTGAGGATTGGCTACTGTCACTGACTAAGAAAGTGTAGTCACCCTAAGCTATTTATAACAAGCGTTATTGGATTTATAAGCATTTTTATAGGTTTAAATAAGGCACTTCCCATAGGAGAGCCATCATTTGGGTGGATCCAAGGAGTATCTAATTCATGCCCTGCCAGGTTGGGCTCAGTGGTTAAAGCGTTGGCCTGCGGACCGAAGGATCCCAGGTTCGATTCTGGTCAAAGGCACGTACCTAGGTTGCAGGTTTGATCCCAGGCCCCAGTCAGGGTCATGCAGGAGGCAACCAATCAATGTTTCTCTTCCTCCCTCGCACCCTCCCTCCCTTCCACTCTATCTAAAAAAAATACATGGAATAATATCCTCTGGTGAAGATTAACCAAAAAAAAAAAAATTTTAATTCATGATCTCTGAAGCCTACCTCCACAGCCCAGACCCAACCCAGCCACTTGTTCAAGAATTCCATTTTGACTTAGAGCATGAAAAAATGACTTCTGTTTAGACAGAGGAACCTAGAGGACGAGGGAAAATGTTTATTGAGGGAAATACAATCGTCCCTCGCCACTTCGTGCTTCGACTTTTGCGGCTTCACTCTATCATGGTTTTTTCAAATATATTCATTAAAAAGTTGATCGAGATAACCGTGACAAACGAGGGACAACTATATAACATAATGTGCAGTTGGACGGGTTATTGAATTAGAGTTGTAAGTCTTTTAAAATTTTTTAGCTGCTACCACTATGCAGCACAATAGGAAAATTCTTCCTCGCAGACGTTTTGTTCCCTGGCATTTGTAGTTTCTCTGTCTATTCAATTGACTTCTATCCTAAAGGCCTTTCAAATATATGATCTTACCTCCACTCCCTGTGAAATCAGCTGCCTTCTTTAAAACTAAAATGATCGCCCAGCCAGTGTGGCTCAGTAGATGGAGCGTCGTCCCATGGA